CTTTATTTCTTTGGAGTTAAAGTCGTCAAGAGTTGTTTTAATTTCTTTTGTCTTTATACTATTGATAACATTTCGCAAGTAAAGGGGCTATGAGAGTAGGGGCACATTCCCCATGTTAAATCCTATAAGAAATCGCTTAGGTCCATTCTGGTCATTTTTTTATCTTTTCGTTGTGGAGGCGCGACTGCTCGTCCGATCGTGACTTGTAAGGTATCGTCGAAAAGGGGAGGGGGTCAAGAATACGTTAACACAAAATACAAAGATGTCGGCATTGCCAAAAGGGCACTAAGCTTGTAACGTCTAAACGGTTCAACGTTGAACAATGTGCAAGATATCGTCGGAAAGGGGAGACTGTAACGAATACGTTAACATAAAAAAACTTGAGGGCGTATGGCCAAAAGGATACTAAGCTTGTAACGTCTAAACTGCTCAACGTTCAACAATGTGCAAGGTTTCGATGGAAAGGGGAGGTGGTAATGAATAAGTAAGGACAAAAAATAAATGCAAAGACGATGCCAAAACGGCACTATATCGTTTTCCTATTATTAGTCAGATTACTACGTGTAACACGTTAAATGAAAGAGGATGGGATATCCAATACGTTAATACAAAAATACATCTTCGTTGTTATTTATTTTGTTGTTATATTTATTTTAGATAAGACTATTGGCTAATTGTACGTTCAGATGAACGTACAATTAGCCAAGAGTCTTAACGTATTAGTGAGCGTTCAGTGGAGATTTGTAAATGGTAGTGGTCGTTCAGATATGGCTTGCAGAGAACGTTTAGGTCCGTGTCGGTTGAACTCATATCTATGTCAAGTAATAATCGTTAGTTGTTTTGTCATACTGGAACTGACATACTCTCATAGCCCCTTTACTTTCGCATTTCTTTGTAAAAGTGTTTGGCCTCTGTGTTTGATTTTTCTGCCTTAGGAGCAGTTACTTGGATTATATTCATATTAATCGGCTTGCTTTTTATCTGTAACATAATTATTCTGCTATATAGGTATTACGTTTTTAACGCACTTCGTTAGGGAGCACTTTGTACGGATACTTAGTCATATTTACATTCTCCCTTGCTAAACCTTTTCCTTTCTCTGATAACCTTGGTGTAGGTTTACAGGCTCTCCCGCAACAAATAATATCTGTGTATACCATGTCGCTATTTTATTTATTTACAGTACTGTGTAATGTCGGAGGATTCGTCGCACCCTCTGATGATTTTACATCTACCTGGGAGTGAGGGCCATTTGTTTAGGTTTTCCTGTTATATTGAAGTGTAACATAAGAAAACAAACCCTTACGTTATTTAATAATCCTTAATTGAGTTTTAAATTTAATAACTTTTCGGATTGAAATTAGGTCTATATCGAGAACGGACGAAATAATTATTTCATACGGTATGATATTTCATGTTATTGTTATTGTAAATAAACCTTGGAGACGGTGTATTTAAAGAGTTCTATTTTTAATTAATTCAGTAGATTCTGCTGACAGTCGTTATGTGAGTTCGCAAGCCGCGATATGTCCCAATTTTAATTACGTTAAAAGTTTGTATTAAAGTAAAAAGTAATTTCTGTGTCCATATATGGACGTCATTGTTGGTTCCTGTTAATTTCAACTATACGTGCAATTACATTTCCTCAATTCCCTTCTTAAAGTTATTCTGCTGGCACTTGGTCGCCACAACCTCGTTTGTTATCTAACAGGGGGCACCGTTTAAAGACGAGGTTGGTATTTGAGTAGAGGAAGCTTTTTGAGACGCTTTCTACCCCATTAGCACCACAAGTAGTATACATATCTGCAATTATTTAAAAGCTAGATCGACAAAAATTTTATCGATTCACCTGGAAAATTGTCACTGTCCTAGTTTATTCAGGACAAATATAATAGTTATACTTAGATGGCTTATAGGACTTACTCATCTAACACACAGTTTTCTGATTCCATCATCTTTATAATAAAATTGCGTAATATTGTAATTTATATTAAATTCAACTATTTTTTTTATTATTTAGATTTACTTATCTCCAAATACTGACTGTACTTATTAGTTTCAGTTTTTTTTGTAATTATGTAAATTTTAATCTGTATACCGTCCTAATGGCCACGGCTGTCATTTGCACGTTAATTTAAATTTAAAACAGTACATAAATATTTTTTTTATTTATTTAACTGTTATAGAAAAATAACTGCGTGGCCCATCTCTAAGCGTTAACGAGATGCTTGTTGTGGTTTATAATAAATTTCACATGACATTTTAAAGAATTGGGTGAAATAAACAGTAATTTGATTGTTAAATTAGATATCGGTTTTTTTAAACAACTTACATGGTTTTAAGGTCACGATTTTGTTATAATTAAAATTATAAATTGTAAAGTTTTATATGAAATTACTATCTCTTTTGCTGTGTCCCTATTATAGTATCGATCTTCCTCTCACTTCTTTTCTTATAGGAACTTCAAAACTTTGGTTTTGTATTTGGTGATTAATATCATCAAATTTAAAAAGTATTCAAAAGTATTTTAAGCTCTAATTGTTAGGTACAACTAATATCGATTTAGGTATTCTGGTTTAGATATCAAAAAACCGTTAGGTCCTGTGAAAAATTATTGATATTTTGAAGTTGCGGGAAATGCAGTCTTGCACTTCGTGGTTATGAGTCTAAAGAGTCAATTAATGGGGCAGTCCAACGAGCTGTCAAATTAAATCCAATATGGTGTCTGGAGGGCAAACAAACTATTGAGTCATATTGAAAGTTAATAGTGTTTTCGATTAATTATTTAAATTGTGAGTTAAATTATCAGTTCAGTGATTGGAAAACGGACCAAAATGTTTAAACTTAGGACTTTTTCAAAAAAACTTCTGTTGTGAAACTGAAAAAATTAGTTTAAATGGTTTGTTTACATAGTCTTTAAATTAAATTCAATCTGATTTTGTGAACAATTTGCTGCCAGGGAATGTGATTATGGCTAACAGAAGATTCCTAAACAAATAATTTGTGAAATTATTTCATGCGTCAGTAAAAATTCCTGAATTTAGGAAGAAAAAAACCCAAATGCATCCAGTTAACTTGGAAGAAGCCAAATCGATCGAACATCTAAGAATTCATGTAGAAAGAATTATTGGAATGATCCGAAATAAATTTAGAATAACTCAGTAAATTATTCCGATGACATTAATAAATGGTAGGCGAAGAACAATCTTTACTAGACCAAATAGTATTCTTGTGTTGTGCACCTATAAATATATGTCCTACAATAATTCCTTTCCTTAATATATGCTTTTAGTTTGCCATTATTAGTTATACTCTCAACTTGTATGTACATTCAGTTCTGTTAATATAATTTGATTCTTGTTTTTTCCTTATTTTTTTTTAAACTTAAAGTGTAATGTAAGCATATTATTCTCTCTCATTTTCAAAGTATCATAATAAATTGTACTTTTATTATTTTGGAATTTGTAATTGATAAATAAAGAAGCATTTTGCTCTAAAATTTGAAACCTTTTTAAAAGACACTCACCAAATGGAAACAGTTGCACCATTATTATATTGTTATTATTGCTTAACATATGATAATCAATTACTATAACATATAATTTTGATACATTTGTAATAAACAAAACATTTTTTTGATTTTGTTTTATTCACAACTATATACCATATTATGTTTGAATACAAAATGCTACAAAATAAAGATAACGCCAACATTAAAAAAATAAATTGAGAAACAAATTTACTATATTTACGTTTTATTGATAATTTAATTATTTATTTTAAAAATTAGTAATTTAATATTTACAAACAAAAAATTTACTTGACACAGTAAAAATGAAAGATTCCATATCTAAGGAGAACAAGCTTCACAAAACCATAAAGTACCTCGTAAGTAGTTACCTCTAAGAGATTCACACATTTAAAGTGAAACCAAGAAATACTGCAGTTTTCATTTTATCATTGGTTGGCCATCATCAATGCCTTTACGTGTACACCATGTTAAGTTTGCTAAAATATTGCAAAGTAACTCGGGAATTATAAGTTTTTATGAGAAAAACTTGCTTTTTCCATGTAAAATTTTCAAAATTCTTCGTTACACATAGTTTTTTCATGATATAATTCAGTTGGAGACCATATTACAAAATGACAATAGTAAACTTGGAGAGAGCCATTTGAATTTGATAGTGATATTTATGTTGTCTATTTAATCGAACTTCTCCATCAGGATTTCTAATAAGACATAATGAAGGTAAGTTTATGAACTCTGCTATTGACATATCTTTTAATAAATAAGAACATTTCACTTCTAAGCACCCTTACTGCAATATTTGCAAAAAACCACTGCATTAGGAGTTGCACCAAGTCTGTTGCACTGGTTTTGAACAAACATTGTACTGGATAACATATAGTTTTAATTAGGGATAATGACGGTTTTTCAATTCGAGAATTGGCAGCTGCTTTAAAATTCGATACTGATATTCTTCCTCTTCATTGATGAAACAATTGTTCTGACTTACTTTGGTCTCATGTACTCTTTTCAATGGTTATACATTCACTTTTATCCTAACTTATAACCAAGTTATCAACAACTTTAATTAACTTAATGTATGTGTATAAAATTATATAACAAAGAAAATATGTTAATTGGTGATATCGACATTCTTCTTAATGACTCAGCCGTTCGTTCAGCAAATGGTTCTGTCACTTTGCTTAAAACGGATGAACTTCCAGCTTTTTCGATGTCAGTTAAAAACTGTATATGGTCATCACTCATGCAAAGCACTTCTGAGGGAATTCATGATCCAGAAAATATTTTGCCAAAATCAATACCTCTAATTGGTTTACATTCAACCTTTGCAGTTTTGGGCACATTTCAGAGGGACCTCACATATTATCTTTTGATGCAGCTATATATTGTAGTGCATACAATATCACACCAACATGGCTATACACTTCTGCATTCTTGGTTACACCTAACCCATGCTTGTAGTGGAGCTCGTTCATTTTTTGTGAATGTTTAACCTGTAACAATAAAAGAACAAGTTAACATATTGTAACAACTAGCAAAAAACATTTGCTCCTCAAATGCTATACTCACTTTCCCTAATGTCACTTGTAATTTAAAACTTTTGACCCACAATTATTCACAAAACCTGCTTCAAAGTATTTGTATGCTTGCAGGCTTTTGTAAGCTTTAATTTGATGTTGTGTGTAAAAACTGGTGCTCAACACTAAATAGCTCACTACATCTATGCTACTTGTTGGGGGAAAATCATTTGGATTGTAACTTCATTCAATTTCTGAAATAGTGTATGGATCTATGTTGTTGATTAGTTTTAATTTCTCTAGATATTTGCTTCCTACATCATAATTTCAAGTTATTGAAGTAATGACTTCGATCCATTTCTAAAACAAAATAATATTCATCAAATTAAGAAACAGTTAGGTTTCTTATCAATTAAAAAGGTGTAAATGTCTTTACGATATTATAAAAAATATTTTGAGTCGCACTTAGTTCAAAAATGTTAAAATTTTATTGATAAAAATATGTTATTGTAATTTCAGCAGCTCATTTTGTGTTAACACTAAAATGTTTAAATGAAGCTAAATCTATAACTGAGAAATATTAGCGATATGCCGAATATGCTAAGTACATTCTTATCAATCATTATAAGGATATATTGACAATAATTGTGGTTGTTAAAGGACTTAACTAAACTATTATGTACTTTTCAACTTACCTCATTAAATTATAAATATCTTCATGTAATCAATATGAATTAGAATTATATTAAAGAAAATTGCTTTTTATCAATTATTAGGTCATCTACTAATTATATTTGGATAACTACAATTAAATATTTGTCTATTACTGCAAATCACAATGTTATTCAATCCATTGTTTGCCCTCCAGACATTTTGACAGTTCGGTTTGAGGTTATGTGTTGGACCATAGATTAGAGGAGGGATAGATAACCAACTTCTGTACAAAAAAATGTTGTGATCATCAGCGCCACGTTGGAGTGTTCTGGTACTAATCAATATTTTTATCATGTTGTTTTTATCACACCTTGTGTAAATGTGTAGTTGGTAATATTGTAAAGTTGGTAATATTGAGAGAACTCTAATCCTGTTTATATATTCGAATAAATGTGACAAATTAGTTCTGAAAGTTTTCAGAGACATTAAATTAGACCAATAATTTTCATTTAATCAAACTCAAAACATGTAGTAATTAATACATAATATTAAATTAATATGCTATGAGAGTAGGAATCATAGAAGCTTGTACTAACTTCTAACTTAACTTAAAACAAAACAAATATCCTTATACCACGCCTAACTAAACAATAATTAATATTCTAATCCTAAATACGATATTCCTTAATCTAACAGCACTTTTAACTAAAACACAAAAAACAAGTATTGAATTAATACTTAATCATCAACATCAATTAATATTCGACATTCGAGAATTATGACAATAACATTCGACAGACGTCAGTTATGAAGACATCGCTATTTTAGCACAAAACATTAGTAATGTTTTGTGATCTACAGAATCTACCGATAATAGCGCTTGGTGGTGTGTTCTGTAACTAATTCAGTGATTACATTTTACGGATTGAAGTTAAACCCCCCTGGTGTTGGACTGCCCTATAGGGTGTGTTAGGTTAGGTTAGGTTATTAACTACTTGATATTGAATCATTTTTTAAAACATCCTTTTAAAACTGCAATCAACATTACTCCAATTTTTTGTATTATTTTCAATATAAATAAATATTTTTAGTTACGATCTACTCATAGATACTGCATAAGAGTTATTTCATAATAAATACTAGATCATCTACTTTCATAAACAGTTTTCAAAAGTTTTACAACTTCTCACAAAATTAAATAAAAACGCATTAGCCCAGTCTGGTTATGCAAAAGTCATCGATTCCACGGCAAAATTTTTCGCAGATATCTGAAGCTTTTAAGACATAGGTGGGTGTTACTAGATGACGAATAGATGAAAAACTAATTACTATTTAACTGGGAATAAGCCACAATTAAAGATAAAAATACGTTTATTAACGTTTCAATTTCCACTTCGGAAATCGTTCTCAAAATACAAACAGTAAATTAAACAAATTTTGTTTTTTGTTAGATAGTGAAAAATTCTTCTAATAATTTAATTTTATCTGACTCATTTATATTGACAATTCAGACATACATTATGCATTTTAAAGTAGACGAATTTAAAATGATATTGCCAATATTGTTGAGTTTCGCTCCTGGGACGACTTTACTTATAAGATAGTTCATTCGATTACATGAAATCAACTTTAACTTGAGAATATCCGTCAGAAGAAATCGTAGCATATAATTTGTCTTTAAAAAGACAAACACATGACATGATGACAGTGAAATTCTCCTGTTAGTGATTCCATAGTAAATTATGAGGGAAAAACCAGGAAAAAAACCTCATAATACTATCCCGACATGGTAAGTATTTGTTCGTGCATTTAGTTTAACTTCAATAAACACCAAAATTCTGATTTTCTATGTTTTATTATTTAAAAAACATAAATGATGTATCCTCTATATGTTACTGACTTACTAATACTGGTATTTTCTTATTAATAACTTCCTCTTTCAATATTGGTAACCAGATCCTACTACATTCTGCTAGCATTTTTGGTGTTTATTGAAGGTAAACTAAATGCACGAACAAATACTTACCATGTCGGGATAGTATTATGAGGTTTTTTTCCTGGTTTTTCCCTCATAATTTACTATGGAATCACTAACAGGAGAATTTTACTGTCATCATGTCATGTGTTTGTCTTTTTAAAGACGAATTACATGCTATAATTTTTTCTGACGGATATTCTCAAGTTGATTTCATGTAATCGAATGAACTATCTTATAAGTAAAGTCGTCCCAGGAGCGCAACTTAACAATATTGGCAATATCATTTTAAAGTTGTCTACTTTAAAATGCATGTATGTCTGAATTGTCAATATAAATGAGTCAGATAAAATTAAGTTATTAGAAGAATTTTTCACGTTGTAACAAAAAAACAAAATTTGTTTAATTTACCCTTTGTATTTTGAGAACGATTTCCGAAGTGGAAATTGAAACGTCAATAAACGTATTTTTATCTTTAATTGTGGCTTATTTCCACTTAATAGTAATTAATTTAAAATACCACAAGAAAATAGCTTCAGAATAATTTTAAATTTAATAGTATCATATCGTTTGGATTCAACATTTTGTGAAATGTGTAAAGTTTTAATTTGTTTTAATAACGATGGCAATGACAACTGCATACAGTGAAAGACATTTCTAAGGAATACAATGTCGGCATAAAGATTGGCGGCGTTTTTCATCCGTCTAAAAAACTATATTTGGACAAATTTCTGATTTCAACGAAAATGTGATGGAAAGGTCATTTCGATAAAAACAAAAATATTGAGTTTTATGTTAAAAAGTAGGATTTTGGTAAGCGTATATTTTTTTTGTATTCTCGAGACAGCTCCTGCTGAACAAAATGATTACCAGGCGCCACTGGTTTCCTATACATATTTCTGTTAAAGTTTTCGTTTCAAAGTATAAAAAACTATAAAAATATTTCTTACAATGCATTTTTTAGTTGTTTTTGTTTACCAGATTTTTATTATATTCGTTGGTTTTTAGACATTAGTGTATGTACTTATCTTATTTTCGCACATTTATTAACTTATAACAAAGAAAATGTTTATAATCATCAACTTCTTGGAGAAAAATTCAATTGTGAACCATGTGTTGAATTTATATGGTTATGCAAGCGTATTATTTAACTTACCGTTCTTAAACAATGGAATGAAAGTAAGAGTACACAGGTGTAGTCTATATAGTATGGTTTATGGTTATACAGGGTTGAAAAAGAAATTGCAAGACAAACATGGCAAAAGTTCCAAATATTATTGGCATCGTTTTACATATTTTGCAGTACTAATAAATAACACGCATACTATGTTTTCATGAGCTTTTTTTAAAGAGCAATCCATCTATAAATAATATAATAGTAGAAAGAGCAATCTAAGAGAAGCAGTTGGCCCAACGTTAGATTGGTAAGAAATTTAAATTTTAGAACAAAAATAAAACCGCAGCGTAAATTATTAAAAGTTTTAATGCATCGAACAACATTTTTGAATTTCCTAATTATAGAAAATATTTTATTACGTAATGAATACTATTGATTAAACAGAATAATATTAAATTTTAAAAAACGCATAGAATATGTAATATTAACAAAAAACAATATGAAAGTTTACCACTGAGTTACATTTGCTTTATTTTTAATGACATCCATAATTCTTCGAGGCATAGTTTTGACAAAGTTCTGACAAGATTCTAATGTAAACAAATTCCATATTTCTTCCAATTTTTCTTTAATTCGTTGACGGACCTGACAGGATGTTTTCTCAAAGCTTTTTTCATTTCGCGCCATAAAGTCTCTATCGGGACATTTCAGAAGTGTATGCCATGGACTTCAATCCATTTTAAACTCTTTTTGGAGGTATGATAACCTGCGCTGTCCTGTTGGAAGGCAAAATCTCCACTGGTGTTAAGCGGTATTTCATAATCGGTAAAACCGATTCGTCTAAAATATTCAAATATTTATATAAAAGGTAGTGACATACACATACACATTCTGGCCATACACATAGGCGCAACCATACTATTAAAGGTATCATTTAAAAGTTCCATTAAACTTTTTTCATGGATGAACAGTAATTGGTGTGATACTAAAAAATCACATATCTTTTTTTATCATGAAAATTATTAAACATTCAAGAAACAAAATTGTGATTTAAATATATTGAGGAATATCAGATCTTATTATTAGTATACTCGATTTTACAATTATTATTAATAATTATTGTTATGTGTTGTCAAGGTGGAGTCGTGTAAACTCGATATATGGTTATTATTATACTCAATTTTACAATGATTATTATTTTTAATAATTATTGTTATGTGCTGTCATCAC